GCGTCTGGAGTTCAGGGTCAGAGCTGGAGAGAAATTTTTAAAGTCATCGGGTCTGTAAAACTGGTTGCTAGGACAGCTTTTCCTTTTCCATCTTTCTTGCCTCCCAGAAGCCCTAGGATGCAATGCAGACTCCAGGCTCTGGCACGAAAGGGGTACTTCTGGAGGCATGGATTGGAAAGGGAAGCGGGACAGAATGTTTCCATTTGTCATGACGGCACGATTGTACCTATGTTTTTCTTTTGCATTTTCATGTGATCTCTACAGGGGCTAAGAATGTCTCCCTTCTCCCCGGCCACCCTGTGCTATACCGGTATCTCTCATTGTCTTACTGGACACAGGGGCAAAGGATTGCAAAGAGAGTGACATATAAGAAAAATATTCACAAGTGGGCAGTGAAACCCCTGAGAGGCACTGTTACTTTCGCATCCTGGTCAAGCTGAGCTGAAAAGGCTCTTGATATGCCTAGTCCGACCCTTCTTCTCCAACCCCTGTTGACAAATAGGGAAGCTGTGTCTTGGGGACATTAGCTGACGTGACTAACCTAACGCAACCAAACTTTGATGCAATTCTCAAGCTACCATTCCAAGTGTGCAAAAAGTACCACATCTTTGAACTTTTCCATGATTTACCATAATTTCTATTTTAAGTTTCCAGGGACTTAACCGTGACATTCAGGTTTTCCTCAGTCAACTCAGGGCTCTCCCAATCTCTCCATCCCCAGTAGTGTCTAAGTTGACTCTGTGACATCAGTCTACGTAAGCATCTGCTGACATGTCCAAAATCCCGTGCTGCCTTTAACTACAGATCCCCACAAGTGGCCCTAGAATTAACTTCTTCCTGATCTCGGGGCTTCCCTACACCCCCTCGCTTTCAGCTCTGTGCACACTGGAAAATCTGGCTACTCTAGAACCCCAGGAAGCTCTGCAGGGTGGTCTCGGGTCCTCTCCACCCAGGCAGAGCACACACCCAGTTCCGTTCTATTGCCAGGCCAGACTGGGGGCAGGAACGCCACAAGTCATGTCACCAAGAAGGAAGACGTCAGTCCTGACTCTCAATCCCTCCAAATTGGACCCGAGGTTTGCAAAGAGGAACAAGTTGCAGGACCCTTCTTGTAGGGAAACAGGCTCAAGAATTCCTTATACTTACATAAATGGTTTAAAAAGCTTCGGGTGGAAAGCTGCCACCACAGGGAGAAAAATATTATAAGCCAGAAATTACAACGGGATCACGAGTAACTTGTTGTATCACCTGCAGGAAACTACTTTCCATCTGGCACCAATATACTCTCGTGCTCTGATCACAACTTCAAACACCAGTTGACCCCCAGACCCTTTGCTTCTTACACACCCAAGTTAATGATTACTATCTGATTGTTTTCTTCGAGTTTACCACCTGTGTAAGATCTTGAGCGCTCAATAAATACAGAGAGGAAGCCCCTGTTCGGGGCTCTTGTCTCCTCCCAGACATTAGCCTCTCTCGTAATCAAATCTGCATCTGCTCTCTTGCTGGACAAGCGAGAACGCCAGGCTTACAGTCCGCAACACCTTCTCGGGGACCCCCAGCGTCGGTTCCTTCCAGTTTTCCTCCTCTCTGCCCCAGATGGGGCAATGCTGCTTAGTTTCAGAGGTGTGCGGAAGGGGATGGGAGGGGATGGGAGGGGATGGGAGGGGATAGGTCTCTACAGGAGACTGTTTTTCCACTTTAGCATCTTTCATCTGGATCTCAGCTTTTGAAACTCGAAGGTGCATTTATACTCTATTTCTGCAATGACAATCTCTCTTGAGACAGATGTGTTACATTTATCTGCTGCCTAACTTGGCCACAAAAAAGCCCCCAGAAAAACTGGACTGCAGAGCTCTGCAGTGACACCAACAGCCATGTTTTATAACTACATGTCAAAAGTCTACACTTTGTAAAATTCAATGCATCTCAACTCTGAGTATACTCAAAACCACTGAATTTTACACTTTAAACGGGTGAATTTTGGGGCGCCTGGGTGGCGCAGTCGGTTAAGCGTCCGACTTCAGCCAGGTCACGATCTCGCGGTCCGTGAGTTCGAGCCCCGCGTCAGGCTCTGGGCTGATGGCTCGGAGCCTGGAGCCTGTTTCCGATTCTGTGTCTCCCTCTCTCTCTGCCCCTCCCCCGTTCATGCTCTGTCTCTCTCTGTCCCAAAAATAAATAAACGTTGAAAAAAAAAATTTTTTTAAACGGGTGAATTTTATGCTAGGTGAGTTATATCTCAATAAATCTATTTTAAAAAGGTGAAAAGGTTACAACAATGTGGGGATATTGTACAAAGTTACTCTTTCCTTTTCCTTTTTCAACATCAATTTTACTTTGAGGGAAAAACATCTAATGCATCCGACCACATAAAACACCAATTCTCTCAACCCCACAAGCACCAACTCTCTATGTGCCTTATTCCTACAAGTTTCCAACACTTCCTCCAAATGTGGGAAGAGAGAAAATAATGAGTTTCATAAAAACGATTTGGAAACCTCATTTTTTTCCCCAGATTCCCGGGTGGAATTGATTTCCAGACTTGGCAGAAAGAAGCAAAAAAGTCATGTAGAGGGCAAATTCCAACAGGGGGATATATTAACTGGTTCTCAGAACCTAAAACTCTTTATCTCCTGCTGACAGTCCCTAGGATGCTTAAATAATAATTAGTATTAGACTTGTCCGTGTAGGTTTCTTACTAAACCTGCTGTGCACAGAGGCAGCTAGCGAATTCCGCTCCCCCTCCCCGCCCCCCGCAGAAGCCTCCCACGTATTTCCCTTCACATCCGATCGGTCAAAATCTTGATGTCTGTCCCAGCTTCGACCAATTACTCAACCAATCACTAGCCAGGAGGTGGAGCTCCATAACTGATGCGGCCCAATGAAGATCCAGATCCTGAGGCTGGGGCAGGGCCTAGCTAGGTACCGCGAAACCCAATGCTGGACAGACTGGGTTCTCTTAGCGAGGCAGAAGGGGGATGTGGCTGTGGAGAGTCCCAAACAAGGGGCTCTTCCAATGAGTAGGTGGTGAATCCAGTGAGCTGTGGAAAAATGCACCCCGCTAGGAGACAACGCCCTGGAGGTGTCCAGACCTGGGGGCAGGGAACCAGGTGCGCACCAGGTAAGATCTGGTTCCAAGAACCAAAGCCTTTATGCAGGAAAATAGCTACTGTTAACTCTCTCCACCCTTGCTGGGGGCAAGGACTTAGACTGCTTACAACATACTTACTAATGACGGGAGTTGGGGGGGGGGGGGGGGCGCTTTACGGTAAAAATGCATGGCCAACATCATCTAAACGAAAGACTCAAAGCAAACATCACCAGCAATGAGACAAATTGAAAGAATGTGCTTCCTGATTGGATGCAACGAGAACTCAGCTTCGCTTTTGGATATTTCCGCCAAAGATGCAAAACCTGACTCTAATAATGGAAAGTATCAGAAACATCCGAAATGAGGGGCATTTTACTTTCTATGCCTTTCAAAAGTACCAGGGTCATACAGGAGAGCGGAATTGTTCTATATTAAAGGAAACTAGAGAGGCATGGCAAGTGACTGAAACTGGATCTTTTTTCTATAAAAGACAAATTTTCTTGGGCAATTGGCAAAACTTGTTGGGGGCCTGAAGATAATAGGAACGTGTCAGTGTGAACTTCCTGATTCGAATGGTATTGTGGCCATGCAGAAGCACGTCCTTATTTGTAGGAAATACAAATATTTGGGTGTGATAAAGCAACATGTCAGCAATTTATTCACAGAGGTTTCAAAAAAAAAAATTCTTTGCCCTGTATTTGCAGATTTTCTTTAAAATTAAAATCATTTTCAGAGTTTAAAAAAAAACTGGTGACACTCTGGCGTCAGGAAGAAATTCATATCTGTTGCAAAAAGATGGGGCGCCTGGCTGGCTCAGCCAGTTAAGCATCCAACTTCGGCTCAGGTTATGATCTCGCGGTTTGTGGGTTCCAGCCCCGTGTCCAGCTCTGTGCTGTCAATTCAGAGCCTGGAGCCTGCTTTGGGTTCTGTGTTTCCCTCTCTCTCTCTGCCCCTCTCCTGCTTGCTCTCTCTCTCAAAAATAAATAAAAGCATTAAAAATTAAAAAATAAAAAAAAGAATAACCAGTAACACACACTGAGAGTTTACTGTGTGCCAGACTCTGTTCTGAGCACTTTACATGTATGAACTCACAACAACCATGTGAGATATAGGTTGCAATTATTCTCTTTCACAAATGAGGAAATCTGGGCACCGAAAGGTTAGGTAACTTGCCCAAGGTCACACAGCTGGTAAGCGGCTGGCTGAGATTTGAACCCAGTCATTCTGGTTCAAGCTCCCTTGCTTTTAACCACCATAGTCTCCTCGATGGTCTTTTTCAGTCCAGTAACCTTAATTAACACTGTCAGCCCAACAATTCTAACTATTTTTCTCCAACTGGGAACTCTCCCTTAGATATTGTATCTAACTGCTTACTCAGTAGCTCCACTTGGGCGCACACACAATAATATCTCAAACTCAGCATTTCAAAAACTTACCTAATCGCCCCCCACCCCCACCCCAAACCTGCTCCAGCCACAGCCTTCCCCATTTCAGTTCATGGCAACTTCATTCCTCCAGGGGTTTGAGCCAAAAATCTGGGAGGCATCCCTGACTCCTCTCTTCGCTCATCTCACAACCTTTCTATCAGGAAACTGTGTTAACGCTACCTTAAAATGTATCCAGAAACCGACCCTGTCTCTCCGTCTCTACTACCTGAGTTCACCCACCATCCTCTTTCCTGAATGGCTGCAATTAGCTCCTCACTGGCCTCCCTGCTTCTGCCCTTGCCTCGCTCATCCATGCTCAATACAGTCAGCAGCGGAGCCTTTCTTTTTTATCTTATTTATTTTGAGGGAGAGAGGCTCCGGAGGTCAGGCTGCAAGTTCTTACAAAGATCCCACTGTGTCCTCATGGGAGCCCCTTCCCGTCTGTCTCACTTTCCCGCGTGTAAACCCGAAATGCTGCTTACCTCGCCGCCACCGGGTGCTGCGTTTGGTCCCTGCGGTTGGTCCCTGCGGTTGGTCTCTGCGTTTGGTAGGAGGACGGCCGCAGGGCGCACTCAGGGGAAGTGCCCCAGGGTCACGTGTTCTCAACCGAAGGGCTGGAAGGGGTCTTTACAGGTGTAGGAATAAGGGGGCGGGAACTAGGATGGGGGCGGGAACTAGGATGGGGGCGGGAACTAGGGTCGGGGGCGGGGATAATCCTGGCAAAAAACTCCAAATGCCCCTCTGTTTAGGGGTGTGGCTTTCTTAGCGTCCTTTTCTTCTGCGAACGTTTCCTCCCACGTCCTCCTGTGTTGCAGTAGCGGTTTCATGACCAGTTTGTGGAACAAATCGTTGAGTACATTCGCACGCATGTACCACGGTGCTCTGAGGATAAAGTTCGAATTTATGGAAAAAGGGTTAAACATTTCTGGTTTCTGAAAAGGAAAAAAAAATATTTTGAGAGAGAGAGAGAGCAGTGGGCTTGAACCCATGAACCGTGAAATCACGACCGGAGGGGAAATCAAGAGTCAGCAGCTTAACCAACCGAGCCCCCCAGGCACCCAGCAGAAGATCCTTTTATTTTATTTTTTTTAACATGAAATTTATTGTCAAAGTGGTTTCCATACAACAACCAGTGCTCATCCCAACAGGGCCCTCCTCAGTGCCCATCACCCACCCTCCCTTCCCTCCCACCCCCCATCAACCCTCAGTTTATTCTCAGTTTTTAAGAGTCTCTTATGCTTTGGCTCTCTCCCTCTCTTTTTTTTCCTTCCCCTCCTCCATGGTCTTCTGTTAAGTTTCTCAGGATCCACATAAGAGTGAAAACATATGGTATCTGGTTTTCTCTGTATGACTTATTCCATTTAGCATAACACTCTCCAGTTCCATCCACGTTGCTACAAAAGGCCATATTTCATTCTTTCTCATTGCCAAGCAGTATTCCATTGTGTATATGAACCACAATTTCTTTATCCATTCATCAGTTGATGGACATTTAGGCTCTTTCCATAATTTGGCTATTGTTGAAAGTGCTGCTATACACATTGGGGTACAAGTACCAAAAAATTAAAAATAGATCTTCCCTATGACCCAGCAATAGCACTGCTAGGAATTTACCCAAGGGATACAGGAGTGCTGATGCATAGGGGCAGAGGATCCTTTTAAAACAATAGTTAGATCTTGTCCTTCCTCTGCCCAAAACCTTGCAATAGCTGCTCTTGTCACTGAGAATCAACACTTAGGTCCTTCCCTTGGTCCCTGTGGCTTCTCACCATCCACTCACCTCATCCCCCTTTTGTCATTCCATATTTTTTCCCCTAAGACTGATCACTTTCTGACATACTGCACAATTTATTGCATATTGCCTGTCTCCCCACACGCGTACCCTTGAACTATATGCTGTCTACAAGAGCCTCATTTGAATTCTAAGGACATATGTAGATTAAAAGTGAAAGGGTGGAGGGTTGCCTGGGTGGCTCAGTCGGTTTAAGCCTCCAACTCTTGGTTTCTGATCAGGTCATGATCTCATGGTTCATGGGATTCTCTCTTCCTCTCTCTGTACCTCCCCTGCTCACTTGCTCGCTCTCAAAATACATAAACATTAAAAAATAATAAAAATAAATATAAAATAAAAAAGTGGAAAAAGTTATTCCATGCAAATGGGAACCTAAAGAGAGAGGGTAGCCATACTTATATCAGATAAAATAGACTTTCAGAAAAAAAAAAGTTACAAGAGACAAAGAAAGTCATTATATGATGAGAAAAGAACCAATCCATCAGGAAGATATGACAATTAAAAATACACATGCACCTAACATTTGAGGTCTTAAATATATGACACATTGAGGAACCTCACTATCCCACTTTCATTTATGGATAGAACACCAAGACAGAATATCAGAGGACTTGAACAACACTATAGACCAAATGGACCTTACAGACGTACACAGAACACCGTACCCAATGACAACAGAACACACAATCTTCTCAAGCACGTGTGGAACATTCTCCAGGTTAGACCACATACTAAGCCACAAACTCAGTCTTAACAAACTTAGGATTAAATCATGCAAAGTATCTTTGCTGACCACAACAAAATGAAATTAGAAATCGACAGCAGAGAGAAAACAGGAAAATCCACCAATCTGCAGAAATTAAACACCTCATCCTTAAATAACGAATGAATCAAAGAAGAAATCACAAAGGATGTGAAAATGTCTGGAGACAAATGAAAACAAAACCACAACATACCAAAATTCATGGGATACAGTGAAAACAGTACTAAAAATTAAGTTTATAGTGGTAGATGTACTTACACTAGAAAAGAAGAAAGATCTCAAATCAACCACCTAACTTTATATCTCACAGAATTAGAAGAGAACAAAATCAATCCAAAATTAATAAAAGGAAGAAAATAATAAAGTGTGCAGCAGAGATAAATGCAATAGAAAAAGAAAAAAAAACAACAGGAAAAGAAATCAATGAGACCAAGAATTAATTTTTTGAAAAGATCAACAAAATCAACATACCTTTCGATGGACAAAGAAAGATAAAAGTCTCAACTAATATTAGAAAATAAAGAGAGGGGGCGCCTGGGTGGCGCAGTCGGTCAAGCGTCCGACTTCAGCCAGGTCACGATCTCGCGGTCCGTGAGTTCGAGCCCCGCGTCAGGCTCTGGGCTGATGGCTCAGAGCCTGGAGCCTGTTTCCGATTCTGTGTCTCCCTCTCTCTCTGCCCCTCCCCCGTTCATGCTCTGTCTCTCTCTGTCCCAAAAATAAATAAAAACGTTGAAAAAAAAAAAAAAGATTGTTTAAAAAAAAAAAGAAAAGAAAGAGGACGTTACAACTGATGTCACTGAATCAAAAAGATTATAAGAGACTACTATGAACAATTATATGCCAACAAATTGGATAAACTGGAAGAAATGGGTAAGTTTTTTACAAACATAAAACCTACCAATCCTGAATTACACTGAACTAAAAATCGGAACAGAGTAACAACTCTGTAAAAAGAATGAAACAATGAGAACGAAGCAATAATCAAAAACCTCCCAACAAAGAAAAAGCCCAGAACCAGATGGCATCACTGGAGAATCCTTTCAAACATTTAAACAACATGAATCCTTCTCAAACTCTTTAAAGAAAAAATTGAAGAGGAAAGGACACTTCCAAATTCGTGATATGAGGTCAGCATTACTGATACCAAAACCAGATGAAGATAACAACAAAAAACTACAAAGCAATATCTCTGATGAATATTGGTACAAAAATCCTCAACAAAATACTAGCAAAGCAAACCGAACAGTATATTGAAAGCATTATACACTATGACCAACTGAGATTTGTACCTGGAATACAAAGATGGTTCAACATATGAAATGTTATAAATGTTACATTAACAAAATGAAGGACAAATACCACATGATCTTCTCCATCAAGGCAGAAAGAACACTTAACAAAATCAACACCCTTTCATGATAAAAACACTCAACAAACTAAGAACAGAAGGAAACCCTCAACATAATAAAAGCCTAACATCACATTCAATGGTAAAAGAGTGAAAGATTTTCCCCTAAGGTCAAGAACAAGGATGCCCTTCTAACTGGAAGATCAATTAGATAAGAAAAAGAAATAATAAAACGCATCTAAATTGGAAAAAAAAAGAAAGGAAAATTATTTCTATTCTCAAATGACATGATTTTACTTACAAAAAGCCATAAAGATTACACACACACACACACACACACACACACACACACACACACCCCTTACTTACAACTAAGAAATGAGTTCATTCAACAAAGTTACAAGGTACAAAATCAACATACAGTAACCAGCTGCATTTCTATAAACTAATAGTGACGAATCAAAAATTAAAAAAGGAATTTTAGAAAACAATTACTTGTACTATTGCATCAAAAAAGATAAAATACTTATGAATAAGCTTAACCAAGGAGGTGAAAGAAAGTCCAATACAGTGAAAACTTCAAAATGTGTTAAAAGAAATTAAAGATACAATTAAATGGAAAGACATTCCATGCTCCTGGATTAAAAGACTTAATATTGTTAAAATGGCCATACTGACCAAAGCACTTTACAGATTCAGTGAAATTCCTATTAAAATCCCAATGGGGGGGGGGGGCGCCTGGGTGGCGCAGTCGGTTAAGCGTCCGACTTCAGCCAGGTCACGATCTCGCGGTCGGTGAGTTCGAGCCCCGCGTCAGGCTCTGGGCTGATGGCTCGGAGCCTGGAGCCTGCTTCCGATTCTGTGTCTCCCTCTCTCTCTGCCCCTCCCCCGTTCATGTTCTGTCTCTCCCTGTCCCAAAACAAATAAATAAAACGTTGAAAAAAAATTAAAAAAAAAAAATCCCAATGGCATTTTTTTTCAGAAATAGAAAAAAACTTTTTTTTTAAATTTTTTTAACGTTTTTTTTAATTTATTTATTTTTGAGACAGGGAGAGACAGAGCATGAACAGGGGAGGGTCAGAGAGAGGGAGACACAGAATCCAAAACAGGCTCCAGGCTCTGAGCTGTCAGCACAGAGCCCGACGTGGGGCTCGAACTCACGGACCGCGAGATCATGGCCTGAGCCGAAGTCGACCGCTCAACCGACTGAGCCACCCAGGCGCCCAGAAAAAAACATTTTAAACATTCATATGGAATCTCGAGGGACCCTGAATAACGAAAACTATGTTGAAAATGAAGGACAAAGGTGACGAACTCACACTTCCTGATTCCGAAACATACCACAAAGCAACAGTATTCACAACAGTGCGGTAGTGGTGTAAAGACAGATATATTGACCAAACACAATAGAATAGAGACCCCAGAAATAAACCCTCCCATATACAGCCAAGTGATTTTTGACGAGGTTGCCAAGACCACTCAACGGGGGAAGGATAGGTTCTTCAACAAATGATGGTGGGGAAAGTGGATTCCCACATGCAAAAGAATGAACCTGGATGCTTACACTGTGAACAAAAATTAACCAAAAAAAAAAAAAAAAAAAAAAAAGAGAGATTTAAGACCTAACTATAGGACCTAAATCTATAAACTTCTAGAGAAAAACATGGGGGAAAGCTTCATGAGGTTTGACAATGATCTTTTGGGTGACACCAAAGCCGAGACAACAGAAGCAAAACTGGCCAACGGAACTACATCAAACCTGGAAACTT